GGGGGGGGCTACTGTGTGGCTGGCACGCAGGTTGGGAGGAGAGTCTGGTGTGTGCCGGTGGGGTTTGGGACCTGCTGCGAGCTGCAGATACTGCCTGGTTCTTTTCTTTCCTGTCGGAGGGGAGTTTACTGCTGCTCTCTGTTCAGCTGGTGCTGGCTGCAGGCTCTGCTTAAAGCGAATCCTAACCAACTGAAGTTCGTGAGTTTTCTTCCATTGGGAGAACTTTCTGTTTTATTGCTTTTTTTTCCCCTTCCCCCTCCCCCCCCCCTTTTTTTTTCAGTGTGGGACGGGAAGGGGAATCGAGTTTTTTTGGGTTTTTTTCTCCGATATACCCTGGGGGTGTTGCTTTTTCCCCTTCCCCCAACCCACCTGGTGGCAACCAAGGATCTCACAGAGCCGCCTTGTGACGGGCACTGGACATTACAAGTTCTGCTCCTCCAGTGATCCAGCAGCGCCACCTGGTGAATGGTATAGGACATTACAAGTTTTGCATCTTCAGGACCCGACTGCGCCCCCTGCTGACTGTGGTTGGAACTGCACCAAAGGGTGCAAAAAATTGAACTATTTAATTTTCCTTTTGCCGGTTTATCGGTTTTGTTCTTGAAGGGGATTATTGGTGGGTATAGGAGTATTGCTTGGTTGTTTTACTTGGGTTTTTTTCCGTGTTCCTGTTAATACACACATACCTTTAATAAAGGGCTGTTATTTTCCCTTTTCCATAATTTGTTTTCCTTCAATCGGAGTCTCTTAATTTTGGATTTATAATTGCTTAGAAAAGAGAAGTTTGGGTCTTTTTCTCCTAATCCATCCTTAGCAAAAGACCCTTGTCTCATTTAAACTGGGACACCCAGTTAAGCCACTTGACAGAACTTGAGATAAGATAAAGGTGGTACTATTGTCCAACTATCTCAGGTCTAAGGAGAAGTAAACAAGGCTGGGGAGAAGCATGTATCCACAAGGAAAGCCAATTCAGCAGCTGTGTTGAAAATCAGCTCTGGTTGGGTCAGGTGGGAGGAGACTGTAACCCACCAACTCAAAAATAAAGACTGAGCCTGGGACATTCACATTCACATGAAGGCCTGAGGGTATTTATCCCTTCTGATAGGGCATAATTGGTTCAACTACGCTGATGTGAGAGGCAGCTGACATGTTTTAGAAGGGGTCATAAACCATCAAAGACCCCCAAAGTGCCCCTAGACTCATTTCTGAGGCCTTCCACCAGAGGACTGCACATGATCCACAGTGTTGCATAAGACAGTATAAAATTTCCCACCCTGCAGGGGAGATACCTGGGTGTTCCTGCCTGTGGTGGGTTGACCTTGACTGGACTCCAGGTGCCCACCCAGTCGCTCTATCACTCCCCAGCGGTAAAGGGGAGAGAGAGTAAGACGGAAAATGACTCGTGGGTTAGGATGAGGCAGTTTTTTAAGGCACAAGCAAAGTAAAAGCTTGCACGTGCAAAAGCAAAGCAAAAAATAGCAAGGTTTATTCTCTACTTCCCATCAGCAGAGATATCTGGTTGCTTTCCTGAGAAGCAGGGCTTCAGCACACATAATGGTTTCTTAGCAGGTAGCCATTGGAAACAATGAATGCATCCCTTCCTGTGCCTTTCCTTAGCTTTTATATCTGAGCTGACGTCATATGGTATGGAATATGCCTTTGGTTAGTTTGGGTGATCTGGTTTACTTGTGTCCCCTCCCAGAAGGAATGTTACAGTGCTGATGCTGTGCTCAGCAGTAGCCAAAACACTGGCATGTTATCAACACCCTTCGAACTCCCAATGCAAAGCACCTGGAGCATCTCCTCCCCCTCCTTATGCACTGACCTTGATGTCTACCTTGTCGTTCCCATATCCTCATTCTGCTCTTCCCTGGCTGGAATTCTTTCTGTGCAACAACCTTCTGTTCTTAAATATGTTATCACAGAGGCATTACTATTCCTCCTAATTGGCTTGGCCTTGGCCAGCAACAGGAAGTCTGTCCTGGAACCAGATGGCATTGGCTCCACAGGACAGGGGAAGCTTCTAGCAGCTTCTAACAGAAGCCACCCCTGTAGCCCCTCCCCACTACCAAAACCCAGCTACAGAAACCCACTACACCTTCTTCTCCTCCATCCTCTTCCTCCCTTACTAATCACTGATATGTACCTGTAACTTGCCTTATCCATTTCTTCTTTTTCACTACTGGAGGAATTACTGTAGTTGTTGTGGTTTGAGTCCCTATCTCAGTCATAGCATCCTCCAATGCAATTTGGGTCCCTGCCTCCACTACAGTCCTCTGAAGCTACTGAACTGTGGTTTGATAGGCACAGACCAGGCATCAGTACAGGGTGAGAAGCTACTAGTTTTGATTGGGTTAGGCAAGGCACCCTTCCATCAGGTGACAGGTCGGTTTGCCAGGGTTGAATACCTGTTCTGGTGTGAAGTCCGAGGTAATGGGAGGTGTCAAACACCCTAAGAACATGCTCAAATCCTTCCACATAGCCTCCCATCCAGGAATTTAACACCTCAGGGCACATCCCAGTATATCATCACCTAAAGTTTATTTTCTCCTACACTAGGATAACACCAGATTCCATAAACTCCATAGTGTGTTGACAGTATTAGTTAATAACAGTAACAGTACTAAACAGCTCACATAAGGATTAGCAAGGAGCATGGAACACTTCATTATAAAACCATTCATATCAGTGTTAGAGAGGAGGGAAAGAGTGTATTCCTCCATCATCCCCAGAAGATAGCTCCCCAAGCATAACAAGGACATAAGTGTAAGCGCAAAGCACAGAGCCGTCATTTATATTAGTATGTTCCTAAAGCTGAGCAAAATAAAGTGATAAGCAGTGCAGTCAGCAAACTCCGTGTCCCGCATAGGAGCTTGCTATTCAATAACTGTTATTACTATAGCATGCAATATATATATACATATATGTAACTGCTTTTATCTTGCCTCACACTGAGTGCCAAAAAAAGACTGTGGTGGGTTGACCTTTGCTGGATGCAAGGTGCCCACTCAGTTGCTCTGTCACTCCCCAACGGTAAAGGGGAGAGAGAGTAAGATAAAAAACCATTCATGGGTTGGGATAAGGCAGTCTATTAAGGCAAAAGCAAAGTAAAAGCTTGCACACGCAAAAGCTTGCATGTGCAAAAGCAAGGTTTATTCTCTACTTCCTATCAGCAGAGATGTCTGGTTGCTTTCCTGAGAAGCAGGGCTTCAACACACATAATGATTTCTTAGCAGGCAACCATTGGAAACAATGAATGCATCCCTTCCTGTGCCTTTCTTTAGTTTTTTTATCTGAGTTGACGTCATATGGTACAGAATATGCCTTTGGTTAGTTTGGGTGATCTGGTTTACTTGTGTCCCCTCCCAGATGGAATGTTACAGTGCTGATGTTGTGTTCAGCAGTAGCCAAAATTTCATTCATTTTAGTGGTTAGGTTTCACGAACAAAGATTTGAGAACAGCTCTACCCACACTTGCTACAAGCGCGCTGATAGCTAAAAAGGCCAATGAGAGATAAACAAGTCCGGTTGCAGAAGGCACAGTAGAAAGACTTCCTAGGTGATATCGACAAGATGCAATTCTTCCTGCATTGTCTTTTCTTCTCAAGAGTGATCCTGCATTTCTCAAAAGAAGCAGTAGTGTTATAGATAGCGTGTCTCCAGACCTCCCAACTGGAGGCCAGGGTAGACCAATGGCGGTAATCAATATGACCAAGGATGAGAGATTGTTTCAGAGAGTCCTTGTATCTCCTCTTCGGGGCTCCTCTCTTGGGGCAGCCAGTGGCAAGTTCCCCATAGAGCACGATCTTAGGGAGGTGGTAGTTCTCCATCCTGGAGACGTGCCCTGCCCAACGCAGCTGTGTTCTCAGCAGCATGGCCTCAATGCTCGTGACTGCTGCCTGTTCAAGGACAGACGTGTTGGTCACATAGTCCAGTGGATGTTTAGGATTTTACGGAGGCAGCGTTGATGGAAGCATTGTAAGAGATGCAAGTGGTGGTGGTAAATGACCCATGATTCAGATCCATATAAAAAAGTAGACTGTTCAATGGTTCTGTAAATGCTGATTTTTGTACTTGTCTTCAGGTGTTTGTTTTGCCACACTCTTTTATGGAGTTTACCGAAAGTTCTGTACACCTTTGTTAACCTGTTGTCTACTTCTGCATCAATCTTACCATCCGAGGAGATGATGCTTCCCAGGTAATTAAATTGCTGGACTGATTTAAGCTCTGTTTCACCAATGGTGATATGGGGATGATGGGAGACTTCCTGAGGTGCAGGTTGATAGAAAACTTCTGTCTTCTTCAAGCTGACTTCCAGCCCAAAAAGCTCATCAGCCTCTGCAAAGCAGGATGTTAAACGCTGTAGAACTACTTCTGTGTGGGCAACGAGGGCGGCGTCATCAGTGTAAAGTAGCCCATGGACAAGATGATTTAAGGTCTTAGTGTGGGCCTTCAGTCGCCTTAGGTTGAAAAGGCTCCCATTGTTATGATATCGAATGTAGATACCGTTTTCTTCATCGAGGTCTGCCGTGACCCTTTGGAGCATCATGCTGAAGAAGACTGTGAATAAAGTTGGTGCAAGAACACAGCCTTGCTTCACACCATTGGCTATTGGAAAGGGTTCAGAAAGTGCATCGCCATATCTGACTTGACCGCGCTGGTCCTCGTGAAGCGAGGTGATCATTTTGAGGAATTTGGAAGGACATCCTAAACGTTCCAAAATCTGCCACAGACCTTTTCTGCTCACAGTATTGAAAGCCTTGGTGAGATCAACAAAGGTTACATAGAGTTCTTTGTTCTGTTCCCTACACTTCTTTTGCAGCTGTCTGAGAAAAAATACCATGTCTGCGGTACCTCTGTTGGCTTGGAAACCACATTGGCTTTCAGGTAGAAGATCTTCTGTAATGGCAGGTATTAATTTGTTCAAAAGAATTCTTGCAAGGATTTTACCAGCAATGGAGAGCAGAGTAATACCTCGGTAGTTTGAGCAGTCTGATTTATCTCCTTTCCTCTTGTACAAGGTGACAATGACAGCGTCATGAAGGTCTGAAGATAGTTCACCTCGTTTCCAACAGCGCACCACAAATTTGTGAAACTTAGCATAGAGTGCTTAACCACCATGCTTCCAGACTTCAGGTGGGATTCCGTCAACCCCAGCTGCCTTGCCAATTTTCACCTGCTGCATGGTTTTAAGAGTTTCTCCCATAGTGGGGGCAGTGTCCAGTTCAGTTTTCACCGGTTGTTGTGAAATGAACTGCATTGCTGAGTCTTGAACTACACGGTTGGTACTGAGGAGAGTCTGAAAGTGTTCAGACCATCAATTCAAAATGGAAACTTTATCTGTGAGAAACTGTCCCAGTTTAAATGAGACAAGGGTCTTTTACTGAGGATGGGTTAGGAGAAAAGACCCAAACTTCTCTTTCTAAGCAATTATAAATCCGAAATTAAGAGGGTCCGATTGAAGGAAAACAAATTATGGAAAAGGGAAAAATAACAGTCCTTTATTAAAAGGTATGTGTGCATTAACAGAAACACGGAAAAAAACAAGTAAAACAACCAAGCAATACTCCTATACCCAACAATAATCCCCTTCAAGAACAAAACTGATAAGCCGGTAAAAGGAAAATTAAATAGCTCAATTTTTTGCACCCTTTGGTGCAGTTCCAACCACAGTCAGCAGGGGGCACCGTCGGGTCACTGGAGATGCAAAACTTGTAATGTCCTTTACCATTCACCAGGTGGCACTGTTGGATCACTGGAGGAGCAGAACTTGTAATGTCCAGTGCCCGTCACAAGGCGGCGCTGTGGGATCCCTGGTCACTGCCACGTCCCTCTGACATACCCTCCCGGTATGTCAGAGGGAAAGGAAAAAAACAAACCAAAACCCAAAAATAACAACTCGATTCCCCTTCCCTTCCCACACTGGGAAAGGAGAGAGGGAATTGGGGGGAAGGGGGAAGGAAAAAACCCAGCAATAAAACAGAAAGTTCTCCCAATGGAAGAAAACTCACAAACTTCAACTGGTTAGGATTCGCTGTAAGCAGGGCCTGCAGCCAGCACCAGTTAAGCAGAGAGCAGCAGCAAAACTCCCCTCCGACAGGAAAGAAGAGAACCAGGCAGTGTCTGCAGCTCACAGCAGGCTCTGCTCAGGGCAGAGAGCTGAGTTGACACACAGCCCCACCTCCCAACCTCCCTCCAGTCACACAGTAGCCCCCCCCCAACTCTTCCCCCTTTGTTGTCTAGGAGACTAATCTCTCGGTCATCAGTGGACCCAGCCAATTCTTTTTTTCACCTGATGACCCATACACAGAGCACACACGCAGGGGGAAGGGAAAGAAAAATTCCTTGCTAAAATCAGAACTATGACAGAAGCATTTGACCATCTGCACTGAGTAAAGGGCTTTGAACCTGGTGTGTAGGACCGTAAACTGTTTTCAGAGCCTCATAGAATCCCCTGTAGTCAGTTGTATCTGCGCATAATTGGATTTTTTCTGCTGGATTGGTCCACCACTTGTTCTGGATGAGACAAAGTTTCTGTTGTAGCTTGCTGCATGCGAGTCGAAAGGCTGCTTTTCTTACATGACAAGATGGCTGAGCAAGGTGGGCTTGGTGAGCAGTTCTGTTCTTATTCAACAATTCCTGGATCTCATGATTGTTTTCATCAAACCAGTCCTTGTTTTTCTTGAAGGAGAACCCTAAGGATTCTTCAGAGGACTGCAGAATGCTATTTTTAATAAGTTGCCAGAGCGCTTCGGGAGAGGGATCTGTGGAATGAACTTTGAGCCTGGATTGAAGATTTGCCTGGAAACTGTCCCTCACTATAGTTGTTTGAATATTGTTAACTTGAAGTCACCTTCTAGGAATGCTGCCCTTTTTAGGTTTGAACTTCAGGTGAGGGTTAAGTTTACAGCGCACAAGGCGATGATCTGTAGCCAAAATACTGGTGTGTTAGAAACACCCTTCTAGTTCCCAATGCAAAGCACAGCACTGTGAGGGTTGTTATGGGGGAAATGAGATCCATCTCAGCAAGACCCAATACACCACCTGAACCTGAACGTATATTAACCCATTGAACTCTATGTTTCATGCACTTTTCCCCACCCCTGATGGATCAAGACTGCCTCCATCACTTGGACCAAGGGACATCTAAATTGCAGCAATCAGGTCTTGTTGCTGGATCCATGGGTGGTGATATCTTTCTATTCTTATGCTTTATTTCTCTTTCTTTCTTTTCCCTTATACATTTTCTTTAGTGATATTTTTACGCTTTCATATTGCTATATTACTATAGATAATAATAACCAAAATGGCTCCATACCTGCTTTCTGTTGCAACCAAATTGTCCTAAAATAAACCCTACATATATATATTTACAAACATCAATCATTCAGTGTCGTTTCACTCTAATCCACCCTAAGGAATCTATTAACAAGAACCTGAGTTACCCTTGCTTTCTGGGGCAGGTTGTAACGCACTGTTAGACAAGTTTCCCTCATTGGCTCAGTCCCAGGTTTCCCACAGCACAGTCCCAGACCCCTGGTCCCTTTGAGCAATTGAATTGTGATGCAACAACCCAATAACAGCCCAAGGTGGTGCCTCTGGAGAAGGACCCCAACAAAGGAATCCCTGGGTTTTGGTGCCCAAAAGTCTGTGTGCATGCTCTTCACATGCCACTTCACATGCGTCTTGGTCCAATCTTGATTTTTGACCTGGGGTCTTCTTGTTGTTCATTGTCTCTTTCAGAGTCTCTGGGTGACTGGCCACCTTTCCCCCTCCAGCCAGTGCCGCAGGTCCCTATGCCCTTTGTTAGGCAAAGGGTCAGCACCAGCTCGTGTTCTGAGGGTCCAGCCATTTCCCACCACCCAGAGCACAACCTGCATATCCCACTGCAGCTGCACACTGAGCTAGCTATCTGCAGTAGCGGTATTCCTCAACGCTGGAAAATCTTTCTTAAAATGTCTCACTTCCTGCCTATTTCTGATAGGAGCAACTTGTACCGGTATGTTTTCAACAATTGCTAATAATTCAGAAAATAAAAGTAGATGTTGACAAAGAAAACTGCAAATCCCAGTTTAAATTTTTTCAGTGTGCAAGTATCCAATCCACACATGGAGTCGAGGTATTTGTTTATTTTGTCTGCTCAGGGATGGGTGCTGGATGTTAAATCCACAGTTAGCACACCCTCCGTATGCCAGATATTCATATTTATACACTTCAAACAGTGAAAGATCAACATTGCCAATATATGCAACAGTCTAAAGCTATAGCCACTGGCTATACATTCCTTCATCTCCATGTAAAGATACAGTACATGAGTATTTTACTACATATGTTCTATGGGGAAGGACCTTATGTGAGTAAGGGACTTCTACAGCCAGTGGGTGGGGATTTTGCTGTTAATGACTAGAGGTTAGCACAAAGTTCAAGTAAAGTTCTTCTTTAACTTCATCAGCAGTTTGTTACTGTGTTATCTCCTGGTTTGATTGGATTTATGGTGTCATCCAATTTTTTTCAGGTCTTGGCTCCTAGTTTCTGCTAGCTATCTACAGAGATAATGTGTATTATGTATACAACAAGTGCAGGGAGTGTTATTCGCTCTGAGAAATTAATTTAGCCTCTCCATAAAAACTTCTAACTTACTAATGATTAACACACCTTTTACAGTCTGGTTTAGAGTCACAGATAAAATGTTACCCATAGAAAACAAAATAGCAGTAATTCTGTGTATATACCTAATTCTGGAATGATAAATGCACTGATTTTCAGATAGCAGTGTGCTGGAAGTGTAAACTTTTCTGTAAAACCTTTTCAGATGTTTTTAAATTTTCTGTAGGTAAGATAATGAAAACTAAGATATAAAGTCTGTTCTTCCTTCTAAACAAAAGTCTTTCAGATAACCTAAGTGATAACAATACCACCAAAATACTTTGTGGCATATATTTAATTATCATTTTCTAAGAATCACAGAATCATTTAGGTTGGAAAAGACCTCCAAGATCATCAATTCCAACCTTTGACCAATCACCACCTTGTCAACTAGACCAGAGCACTGAGTGCCACACCCAGTCATTTTTTGAACACCTCCAGGGATGGTGACTCCACCACCTCCCTGAGCAGTCTGTTACAATGCTTGAAAACCCTTTCAGTGAAGAAATTCTTCCTGATGTCCAACCTGAGCCTTCCCTGGTACAACCTATTTTTTCTTGTCCTGTCACTGGTTGCCTGGGAGAAGAGGTCGACATCCACTTGGCTACAACCTCCTTTCAGGTAGTTGTAGAGAATGATAAGGTCTCCCCTGAGCCTCCTTTTCTCCAGGACAAACAGCCCCAGTTCCCTCAACTGCTCTTCATAGGACTTACTCTATAGACCCTTCCCCAGCTCCCTTGCCCTTCTCTGGACTTGCTCTAGCCCCTCAGTGTCCTTGTCGTGAGGGGTCCAGAACTGGACACAGCACTCAAGGTGGGGCCTCACCAGTGTAAAGTACAGGGGGACAATCACTTCCTTGGCCCTGCTGGCCACACTAGTTCTGATCCAAGCCAGGATGCCATTGGCCTTCTTGCCCAACTGGTCACAGCTGGCTCATGTTCAGTCAGCTGTCAACCAGCACCCCCAGGTCCTTTTCTGCTGGACAGCTTTCCAGTCACTCTGCAGGACCCAGCACTTGGCCTTATTGAACCTCATACAATTGGCATCAGTCCATTGATCCAGCCTGTCCCGATCTCTCTGCAGAACCTTCCTACCCTCCAGCAGATCAACACTCACACCCAACTTGGTGTTGTCTGCAAACTTACTGAGGGTGCGGCTCGATCCCCTCGTCCAGGTCGTTGATGAAGATATTAAACAAGATTGGTCCCAATACTGAGCCTCGAGGAACCCCACTGGCCATCAGCTGGATGCAGCACCATTCTTCACCACTCCCTGGGCCCAGCCATCCAGACAGTTCTTAACCCAGTGAAGAGTGCACCCATCCAAGCCATGGGCTGCAGCTTTTCCAGGAAAATGCTGTGGGAGAAGGTGTCAAAGGCTATACTAAAGTCCATGTAGACACAGCTTTTCCCTCATGTACTAGGCTGATTACCTGATCATAAAAGGAGATCAGGTTGGTCATGCAGGACCTGTCTTTCCTAAACCCATGCTGGCTGGGCCTGATCCCCTGTTTGTCCTGCATGTGCCTTGTGATTGCACTCAAGATGATTCTGTTCCATAAACTTCTCTGGCACTGAGGTCAGGTTGACAGTCTTGTAGTTCCCCGAATCCTCCTTCTGACCCTTCTTGTGGATGGGTGTCACATTGGTCAATCTCCAATCATATGGGACCTTCCCAGTTGGCCAGGACTGATGATAAATGGAGAGTGACTTGGTAAGCCCTTCTGCCAGCTCCCTCAGTACCCTCTGGTGAATCCCATCCAGTCCCATAGACTTGTCAGTGGCTCAGTGGCTCAGCAGGTCACCAACTTCTTCCTCTTGGATTACAGGGGGTCTATTCTGCTCCCTGTCCCAGTCTACCAGCTCAGGGGGCCAGTTGCCCTGAGGATAATGGGTCGTCCTGTTAAAGACTGAGGCAAAGAAGATGTTAAGTACCTCAGCCTTTTCCTCATCCTTAGTGACAATGTTCCCCTGCCTCCCCCTTTCCCCCCCCTCCCCCCACCATCCTATAAAGGATGGAGACCTTGCCCCTCCTTTAGTTGTTGATGCATTTATAGAAACACTTTTTGTTGTCTTTCACAGCAGTGGTCAGATTGAGTTCTGCTGAACTTTTGCCTCTCTAATTTTCTTTCTACGTGATCTAATGACATCCTTGTACTCCTCCGAGTTGCCTGCCCCTTATTCCAATGGTCATCAACTCTTTTTTTACCCCTGAGTTTCAACCAAAGCTCCCTGTTCAGTCAGGCTGTTCTTCTTCCCTGCTGGCTCATCTTTCAGCATAGGATGATGGCCTGTTCCTGTGCCTTTAAGGTTTCCTCCTTAAAGTATGTCCAGACTTCCTTGAACCCTTTGTTATTAAAGACTATTTCACAGGGGACTCTCTGAACCAGTGTCCTGAACAGGCCAAAGTCTGCCCTCCAGAAGTCCAGGGCAGAGGTTTTGTTGACCCCCCCTCCTTACTTTTTTGAGAATTGAAAACTCTATCATTTCATGATTGCTGTGCCCAAGACAGCCTCCAACTATCACATCATCCTCCAGACCTTCTCTGTTTGCAAACCACAGGTCCAATGGGGCACATTCCCTGGTTGACTCACTCACCAGCTGTATCAGGAACTTATCTTCCACACTCCAAGAACCTCCTAGACTGCCTCATCTCCGCTGTGTTGAGTTTCCAGCAGACATTCAGCAAGTTAATTTTTTGAAGTTGTACAGTATATTAAATTCAGAGTTACCTATTGTTTAATTAATAAAATATTCCAATCAAGCTTAAACTATTTCACAAATTTAGTATATACTTGTTAAAAACAATATTGTAAACAAAAATATTACATAAGCATAGATGCAACAGCATAAATATTACCGATTTATGAGGTCTTATGAGATATAAAGGGAAATTATTGTCTCCCTCATTTGGTTGACAGGATTCAGACCTGTTTCTAAACCAGAGCAAGTCAAAGTAGGATTAAAACCTGAGTCCCTGTTTTAGAGACACTGAACTACTGCAGAGTAGCATCTCAGATGTTCTTGCCTATGACTTGTAAAAATTCTCAGATTATTTTTTTTTTTTTTTTTTTAGAAAATATGGATGCTATCCTTTTCTCAGAGATAACTATGGTAAAAATGTCCTTTGACTATGATAAGTTCTCAATTTCAGCCTGCATTTAGAGGTTTCTCCTTTACTTAGATGATTTACTTAGATGCAAGATTATCTTTCTGGCCCAAAACCCAAGCTTTCCAAACTATTTTTATTATTCAGTTCTCCTATATACCATATCTTCATGGGTGTAGCCTGCATCTCAGATAACCAACACCCTTTTAGAAGTACCAGACCTTGAGAATAAACACTTAGATAACATGTAGAGGATCAGAGGAAGGAGGAGGTAAACTATTACGGAGTAAAAGCTGCGGAGTAAATCCTTTGTATGCAGTCCACACTTATAAAACTGCTCAAGTGAAGAGGATTTTTCTGTTTATTTTAAAGAAACTAAAGTTCCACATGTGAGGAAAAAAAAAGTGTGGTTCTTTGAATTGTTACCAGTTACTTTCCATATCATAGAATCATAGAATCACAGAATCAAATGGGTTGGAAAGGACCTCTGAGATCATCAAATCCAACCCATAATCCACTACCACCACAGTTACTAGATCATGGCACAAAGTGCCACATGCAGTCTCTTCTTAAATACCTCCAGGGACAGGGAATCCACCACCTCCCTGGGCAGCCCATTCCAATGTCTGATTACCCTCTCTGTAAAGAATTTTTTCCTAATATCTAAACTAAACCTCCCCTGGCAGAGCTTGAGACCATTCCCTCTTGTCTTACTGATAGCTGCCTGGGAGAAGAGACCAACCCCCACCTGGTTGCAACCTCCTTTCAGGTAGTTGTAGAGAGTGATGAGGTCTCCCCTTAACCTTCTCTTCTCCAGGCTAAACAATCCCAGCTCCCTCAGCCTCTCCTCATAAGGCTTGTGCTCAAGTACCTTCACCAGCCTTGTTGCTCTTCTCTGGACCTGCTCCAATGACAGGGTTTGTAAGGAAAAACCCTCTCGCAGTCCATCTAGTAAAGACAGAGCTGCCGTGATGCAATCCTTAGTGCTGGCTAGAAACGCAGACACCAGACACGCAGACAGTTCGGAGGCGGAGAGGCTTTATTCAAATTTCCTGCAGCTTATCAAGGCTACTGCGAAGAAGGGAGGGGCTAGGCTACTCGGCTAGCCAACGAGAGGGGACGGGAGGTTAACACCCAGTAGGAACCCAGGAACCAGGGAGAGACAGGGGAGACAACCAATGGGGTTAGCATAGGGATGTGGCCTGGTTCTGTGGGCAGAACAAACATGGCGCCGCACATAGCCACCGCTTGGGGACAGGGTGAGGGAGGTATTCGTACATAGGATAGGGGGACCCGAAACAATATATAAGAAATAAATAAGGCGGATTAATTACAAGCAGGAGTTTACTCATGTCAAGATGCCTGGAAGCTGTATTGTTCGGGGGGGTTGGAGAGTTATTTAGTAGTCGGGTACTGATAGTCTACTTGCAGTTACTTCTTGTTGTTGCCTATAGTTACTGTACAGAGGCGAGGCGGGAAGCCTGTAAGACAATGGGACCAGCTAGGGCTCATTGCCAAGGGACCACGCAACCGGGACAGGGAAACAACCTGATAGGTCAGTTAAGACAACCAATGGACTGGCAAAGGGAAGTGAGATGGCCCTGAGAGACCCAATCGAATCCAAGAACAGGGGGTATATCACCTTTTAAAGAAGAAAAGGAGCGGGGCTCACCATGGGAGGAGCGAGGGAGTGGTTATGTAAATCAAGAAACTTTAAAAGGACTTGTCCCTCCCATTCTTGGTGTGCTCAGATTTGGCCATGAGGCCGATGCATCCAATGGGTTGTAATTAAAGTTCTTTGTTTTACTTTATTTGACCGTCTTCGAAATTTTAATTAGAGATATTTCTCACAGATAGATTCTCGATATGGAGTTTCCTGTGTTGACTTCAGGAAACTGCACTCTCATCTGTTTCTCCTCTACTGCTGCTGTTTCCAATGTGTGTATTCCACGTGGTTTCCCACAATTCCTCCGTTTTTATTTAATAATGAAACATAGACTTGAGAAACATTGTGCATCACCAGACCTTGAAGACATTTGACTATACAGGAGAGAACACACAGAAGGATTAATAACACAAACAACCCTAAAAGCAGAAACAATAAAAACTTTTTTAGGGATGATGAGAGTCCTTCTAAAGAGATCCAACCAAACATGTCATCCCAACTAACCTCGTTCGATTTTTGGATCTGTCCAATGAGTGAGCAGAGCTCGTTTATTTGGGAATGGATGGACTGAGAGTGGTCTGAGAAATTTAGGCAACACAGACCTTCAAACTCACTGCACTCATGTCCATTAACTAATAACAGAAAATCTATGGCCGCTCTATTTTGCAAAGTAGTTTTTTCAATTTTTTGTGAATCCAGTAGAAGGTCTTCCAGTAATAGGTCTTCCAGTGTTGTGCTTGTAGCGTTTACCTCTTTGGCTAGCCAACATCCCATGTTTGACAGCAAATGTAGGGCATGCGAGGTCCCAATTGCTGGAATGATTACATTGCCTCACATATCTCGATTATGAGACCAAAAATTGAGGTTAGAGTCACAGTCCTCTTTGAATTCTTGTAAATTTTGAGATTTGAACAGGGGATGTTGGTAAGTCTAAGGGTCAGGGGTTGCTTGAGGGACTGTATTCCTTTTGATTGATATCTCATGTTTTGTGATTTTTTGGGGGGGATCATTAACTAGGGAAGGCAATGCCTTAGCAGGGTTATAAAATGTTACTTGTCCAAAGGTGCAAGGTCCTCCAACTGCCTCTTTAGGGATTTATTTCCATACCCGGAATCCACAGATAGGGAGGGAGATTCAATTTTAAAGGGTATTTTCTCCTTGCACCAGAACTCAAAACTGGAATAGGCTCCATATGTTACATTAAACTGCTCTTTACTTTTCCCCTCTGTTTTTGTACAAAAATAGAAACAGTGGGTTGAGGGGAGAGTACCTAAAATTTTTAATTCTTCTGGGTAATTGTTGGGAGTTTGCAAAATGGTTTCAGGGTTTTGGGGAAACAGGGCACACCTTGGTTTTTGTTTCTGTCTAGACCATTATACCATATGGAAAGTTGATCTTGGAATCTAGACCGTTTCTTAGGGGACCAAGGTATTGTGAGTAAACGTTTTTAAAGGGTTGGAGGGATCTGAAACTGAGAGGCACACTGGATCAGTATTCAAAGACTTAGCTAGGGAAAATCACATGTTGGTATGGTCAGTTGTAACCCAGTCTGGTAGGGGAGGCATGGGAGACAGTTGGTATGAGATCATGGTCTGAGGGCTTAAGGTGAGGATGATGAGGAGGGAGATCATGGTGGTGATTAATCGCTGTTGTAGAACTTCACCAGGCGTGATGGAATCCACTTAGGACTGGAACCTGTAGAGACACAAACATGTCCCCTTCCCCAGGCAATAAGTGGAACAGGGTCAACACATTCACCTCTTATCTTTATAACTAACTTTAGCATCGGTACTGATTTGGTTTCGGTGTGCCTTAAAATGCCTTTCTATAGGAGACGTCTTGATCTAATCTGTTTAAGAAATTGACCACATATAAGGTCTTATTTAATTTTTCTTGTGGTGTAAGTCCAATTGTTGCATTCTGTTGTTTGGTTAACATATTTTTGAGGATCTGATGAGCTCGATCTACTACTGCTTGGCCAGTGGAGGAATGAGGGATCCCAGTGACATGGGAGATACCTCACTCACTAAAAAACTCTTTTAGAGAGTTTGAAGTGTAAGCTGGTCCGTTATGTGTTTTTATGGTTTTGGGGATACCAAGAACTGATATTGCAACCATAAAGTACTTTTTAACATCTCGAGCCTTTTCTCCTGCATTGGCTGTTGCAGCAATAGCACCATAACATGTGTCAATAGACACACAGATATATTTTAATTTCCCAAAGGGTGGATAGTGTGTTATGTCTGACTGCCAGATTTCTAGGGGGTTTATGCCTCGAGGGTTTATTCCCTCAGATGGTATAGGAGTGAGTCTCTGGCAGTCAGGGCATGCAGAGACAATTGTTTTGGTTTGTGGCAGGGTAAGATTGAATGATTTTTTTAAGGGATTTTACATTTTGGTGAAAGAAGCTGTGGGACAGCTTTGCTTTTTCAAAGTTGTTTGGTATAACTGCAGTTTGTGCTAGGTGTTCTGTATTAGCAATTTGGTCTGCAATCTGATTTCCTGCTGCAATGGGCCCTGGGAGAGAGGTATGAGTGAATATGGATGATATGAAATTTATGTTTACAATGCCCAATTTCATAGATTTGAACATATGAGCCAATTGTAACTGAGAGATATATTTTATGTATGAATTTTCAATTCGTCGAACTACTTCGAATCAGAAACAATATTCAAGGGCTATGGAAATAGTTGAAAAGCACAAATGATTGCAGAGAGTTCTGCTATTTGAGGAACCTTTTACCTTGTGCTTGTCAAATATCCACTCTCCTGCTGCAAACCAGGTGACTACTGCATTGGACGTTTTTCCTGAACCATCTGTGAAAACAGTCCTAGCACTAGTTAGTGGAACTGGTGAATAATTATGTGTTAGTACTGGTTGTGTTAGGGTTAGTAGCTGTAAAAATGGAACAGATGGAAGGTGAACTGAAAATTGTCCTCTGTAATCTGTGATGGCTAACTGAAAATCAGAGCTATTAGTTTGCAATTGGTTTAGTTGAACAGCAGACATAGGAAAAGAAATGACGTCTGGATCTCTCCCTAAGAGCTGCCATGTTGGGGCCTTAGCAGTTTTACACGATTATGCTGAGTTCTGAAAAGGTCAGGAGTTGACGGTTAGACAAACAAGAACAAGTTTACGGTTACAAGAATACAGAGGTCAGCAGAAAGCAGGATGTGAAAAACAGCGATAACAGAAGCTTTATCCAGGAATGTGTGCTTTAAGACCACCAATCGATGGACTGCCTGAGGCACGTGAACAATGTATGCTGACCAATCATAATAGCATGCTGTGCTCATGATCGCATGTCCAGGACTCAAAAGAATATATATTGTGTGGCCTCTGGATAATAAAGTGGATTTGAATTTGCATCTTATAGATGTGTCGTTCTTTCCCGCTTGCTTGAATGCCCGCAGCACTCCCAAAACCACAATCTGCTTTTGTGACAGACTTTGGAAAGCATCTCAGAGTATGTGGTGATCAATTTGGAAAACTGGGAACTAAAGAAAACCCATTCCCATAACAGAAAGTCTTTGCCTTTTACATCTAGTCCTATTACAGCATAAGGTTGTCTGATACCTTTAAAGACTACTACAATAACAGGTAACCCACAGACTTTTCTTTTGCTTTGACAAGAACTCAGTGTCTGATTAATTTCTTTTAGTACTGCTAAGGCTTTTTTTTGTTTTTCAACTTTTATAGATTTTAGAAGTAGATGTGCGGTGAATGTAGATTTTAATGTATCTGTATTATATCCCTTACTCTGTAGCATAATGTTTACACATACTCAACCCTACTACCCCATTTCATATCAATCCCTCTAAAATTCCATTAGTGTGTTTAGTCTTCTTTTCGAGGTTAAATTGTAGAAAAACACCTTAAGACCTGGACCAGAAGATATCACACAGACACAGCGACCTTCAAGCCCAGAACTTTGGAGGAACTCCAAGGACTGTACATGCTGTGAAGAAGATGAAGATGAGGAAGAAGAGGGTCCCAAATGCCCCCAGACCCAATTTCTGAAGAGACGTGTTGGGGGGGCAGAATGGGGCAGAGCCAGGGGTGGACAAATCTGGGATTGGATGGACCTTATTATAAAATCATAGAACCATTGTCTGAGGGTGCATGCGTCATTTGTATTCCCTGGGTCTCAGGCCTGAGATTAAAGGACATGCTCTCTTTATCTTATACACTAATTGGCCTGGAGTCTTTTTCTCCATGGTCTTAGGCAACACCCATAAAAGTCTGTTGAATTCATTTAGTCCATGACTTCGGGCTCCATCTGTTATAACAGTCTTCCAAGCAGGAAAGATGGTGTGTGGTGTTGGATTGTTGCATGTTGAAGCCAGTTCTGATTCCATCACCTCTGTGCTTGTCCGGTTTTAATCAAAGTTCATTCTTCATTAACATGGTGATAGAAAGTGATTCATGTTCAAATTCCCAAATCCAGAGTGGTAGAGACAGATGCCATGAGGTACTCAGTGCAGTGATGAGCATATAGCCACCATAGAAGTGATAATACACAGTGCTAATAGTTATTAACATCATACAATTTAGTTCATTGGTTATTCTCACCTGTTACCTAAAATCTGCCCTTAAAAGAAACCTTTAAGACTCAATTTGTGAGTTTTAGAAACCAGGCATTCTTTTATTAAGATGGTTTGCATGATTTCAGCATACCAGGTGCCCTGGGAAGGAGTTCTCCAAAGTGCACACAGAGGTATCTTCACTACGGCTTCTATGTCAGTATTACATGATTATTAATTTTTTATTCCACTCATTTCTGTTACATATTCATGACATTTCCCAATGCTTATTAGCATATATACATATCCTCATACAGTCTCTGAGGGGCTTCATTGAGGGGTTTCATTTAGTGGCTTCAGCAATCTTCTCCGTCTGGAGCCCCCAAAGTTCTAAGTGACTGCCTTATAAACTTCTTCAAGACAATTCACCTGGTTATAGAATAACTGGGTGTTGCTTGGCTGGCTTCCTCAGTTCCCTTCTTCATTGTTTCCTCGCCTTGCTTGGTTGATTTATTTAAATTGAGGCACAGTAATTTTCTATGGTACATTCTGTTGCAAAAACTATTAGTTCTTGTTACACCTTTAAACTCAAATATCCCACCCAAAATCCAATCCCCTTGAGGCACACACTGAACTTCCCCATCCTCCCTCATCATCCACCAAGTGCACTCAGGTCCTTGAGCAAAAGCAATCCCACGGATAGTTTTTCCCTTTGCCTGAGGCAGGAATAATCCAGCATGCTTTTAATGTTGTATTGGGTTTGTGTGGCCAGGTTTTGGTAGCAGGGGGGCTACAGTGGTGGCTTCTGTGAGAAGCTGCTGGAAGCTTCCCCCATGTCCAGCAGAGTCAATGCCAGTCGGCTCCAGGATGGACTCACCGCTGGTTGAGGTTGAGCCAATCAGAGATAGTAGTAATGCCTCTGTGATAACATATTTTAGAAGGAGAAAAATTTATTGCGCAGATGCAATTGTGGCCAGAGAAGAGTGGAGTGAGAATATGTCAGAGGAACAGCTCTGCAGACACAAAGATCAGTGAAGAAGGAGCGGGAGGAGGTGCTCCAGGCACTGAAGTTGATAGTTGACAGTTCCCTGTCTCCCTGTTCCACTGGGGAGGAGGAGATAGAACCTGGAAAGGAAGGGGGGGGGGGAAGGTGTTTTTAAGATTTACTTCTCATTATCCTGCTGTGACTTTGTTGTTAATAAATTCAATTAATATCCCCAAGTTCAGTCTGTTTTGTCCATGATGGTATTCAGTGAGTGATCTGTCCTGGTCCTTATCTCAAACCATGAACCTTTTGTTATATTTTCTCTCACCTTTCCACTTCTTGGAAGGGAGTGATAGAGCAGCTTTGGTGGGCACCTGGCGTCCACCCAAGGTCAACCCACACAAATGTGCACTACAGGAACTTTATCCTCTTCTACAGTATGTAAAATTTTTCATTGAACAGGGCCAGTTCGACTGGCAGATCCCCGATGTTGACTAACCAGATGGCTTTTGCTAAATGTGTATCCCAATGTTTGAAGGTCCTACCACTCATTGCTCTCAGTGTTGTCTTAACCAGTCTATTACATTGTTTGATCTTTCTGGAGGTTAGTGAATGACAGGGGATGTGATACAACCACTCAATGCCCGGTTCTTTGGCCCAGGTGTCTATCAGGTTATTTCAGAAATAAGGCCCATTGACTCAATTTTTTCTGAGGTGCCATGGGGCCATGAGACTTGTTTCTTGGTTGCTTAACCCTAAATAAGCAACTTGCTTGGTTTTCCACTTTGAGAAACAGGACTCTATCAAAAACACCAGTCAAGGTCAAAACACTCCTTTTTGATCCTAATTAACTGAATGCAGATGCTGTTGGCTTAACTTGTTCCCACAGGGCTTGAGATAAGAACAGTGTAATAATTGAAATAGAGTATAATAATAATAATAACACTAATAATAAAAGGAAAAAGAGACAGAGGAATAAACCCCCAAAACCCTCACAGTACAATTGCTCACCACCTGCTGATCGATGCCCAGCCCAGCCCTGAGCAGTGATTGGCTCCTCACAGCCAATTCCCCCCAGTTTATATACTGGGCATGACGTTCTATGGTATGGAATATCCCTTTGACCTGTTCAGGTCATCTGTCTCAGCCATGTTCCCTCTCAGCTTCTTGTGCAGTTCCTCACTAGCAGAGCACAAGACACTCAAAAGTCTGTGAATTCAGGTAAGCAGTACTTAGCAACAACCAAAACATCAGTGTGTTATCATAAAATCACAGAATATCCTGAGTTGGAAGGGACTCTCAAGGATCTTTTAAGTCCAACTCCTGGCCCTGCATAGGACAACCCAAGATTCCCATCATGTGCTGTGAGCATTGTTCAAATGCTTCTTGAAACTCTGTCAGACTTGGTGCTATCACCACTGACCTGGGGAGCCTATTCCAGCGCTCAACCACCCTCTGGGGGAAGACTCTTTTTCTAATATCCAACCTAAATCTCCCCCGACACAACTTCAGGCCATTCCCTTGGGTTCTGTCACTGGTCCCCACAGAGATCAGTGTCTGCCCTTCCCCTGCCCCTCACGAAGAAGCTGTAGACTACCATGAGGTCTCCTCTCAGTCTCCTCTTCTCCAGGTTGAATAAACCAAGTGACCTCAGCCGCTCCTCATACATCTTCCCCTCTACACCCTTTACCATCTTCATGGTCCTCTCTTTGGACGCTCTCTAATAGCCTACTGTCTTTCTTATATTGTGGTGACCAAAACTGCCCCCAGGACTCGAGGTGAGGTCGCCCCAGTACAGAGCAGAGCAGGACAATCTCCTCCCTTGACCTACTGGGGATGCTTTGTCTGATGCACCCCAAGACATGGTTGGCCCTCCTGCCTGCCAGGGCACTGCTGACTCACATTCAACTTGCTGTTGACCAGGACCCCCAGGTCCCTTTCCACAGCACTGCTCTTCAGCCTCTCATTCCCCAGTTTGTATGAACATCCAGGGTTGCCCCATCCCAGGTGCAAAATCTGGCACTCACCCTTGTTAAATTTTGTATGATTGGCGATTGTCCAACTGTCTAATTTGTCAAGGTCTCTCTGCAGGGCCTCTCTGCCTTCGAGGGAGTCAGCAGCTCCACCCAATTTAGCATCGTCAGTAAACTTGTTTAGTAACCCTTCCAGTCCTGCATCTGTAGCTGTAAAGAGCTATGTAGCTTATTAGTGACTGTATAGTTCACCTCTGTGGTCTAAATTATGTAGTTTATCATTCTTTGTGAAGAGTTTCAACAGGCAGGAATTTTATAAGGTAGAAAGTTCCTCTATCTGTGAAACAGGACTGATAAAAGGGACAAAAACCAAACACAAACCTAGCAAACCAGTTAAAACTGGTCATAAACCTTGAAACCATTCCAGAAAACATGATGCTGTGCCAAGAGCAAGTGGTCAAGAAAAGGACAAGCTGAGGAAGAGGGAGGAGACGACCACCAGGGGTCAATCATGACCACCAATGGGACCTCCAACTCAAATTCAAGAGGAGTGTTGAGGGTTTTGGAACTAGGAGGGACAAAATGAGGTAATGCCTGAATTTGTAATTAGGTAACAGAAAAAAACCATGGAATCTTTGTAATTTGACATGCACAATTTGGAATACATTTCCTGTGCATCTGGCTGCCGTAATAAAGAATGCTTTTGCTTTCTAATACTTGAAAAGAGTCTTAAAGAGTTCTTTCCCTGGCTTTTCTGGCATCATGTCCAAGACATTTATGAAGATGTTGAAGAGCACTAGGCCTAAGAGGGAGTCCTGCAGAATCCCACTAGTGACAGGTCACCAGTCTGATGTTACCCCATTCACTCTGCTCAATCTGTGAGTCAATTGCTCACACCCTGCATGATGTCTTTATCCAGCTGTGGGCTGGACAGTTTGTCCAGAAGGATCCTGGGAGAGACAGTATTGAAAGTTTTACTGACATCCAAAAAGATTATACCAACTGGCTTTCCTTGATCAACTAGATCAACTAGATAGGGAATTTTGTCATAAAAGGAAATAAGTTTGACAAGTAGGAATTTCAGGTCAGTCAGGCTCACCTCCATGCCCAGGAAGGTGATGAAACAGCTCATCCTGGATGTCATCTTTAAGCATGTGGAGGAAAAGAAGGTTATCAGGGGTAGTCAACATAGGGGAAAGCACGTTTGACCAATTTGATAGTCTTCTATGATGGAATGACTGGCTGGGTAGATGAGGGGAGTGCAAGTGCAGGGTCCTGCTCCTGGGGAGGAATAACCCCAGGCATCAGTACAGGTTAGGGGCTGACCTACTAGAGAGCAGCTCTGTGGAGAAGGACCTGGGAGTACTGCTGGATGACAAGCTGTCCCAGAGCCAGCAGTGTGCCCTGGGGGCCAAGAAGGCCAATGACATCCTTGGATGCATCAGGAAGAGCATTGCCAGCAGGTCAGGGAGGTGATCCTGCCCCTCTACTCAGCCCCAGTGAAGCCTCACCTGGAGTGCTGTGTCCAGTTCTGAACTCCTCAGGACAAAAGAGATACAGAGCTCCTGGAGCAGGTCCAGCAGATACTGTGGAGATGATTAGGGGACTGGAGCATCTCTCTTACAAAGAAAGGCTGAGGGAACTGGGGATGTGACTGAGAGGGGATCTTATTGTTGCCTTAAAGATCAGGAGTCAAAAAATACTCCTCCAAGGTTCTGGGTTTGAAGGTAGCTTTGTCTATGATGGTATCTTGTTGTTCAGGCCTAGGGTGCAAATGTTCTTAGAATGAAGGCCTGCCGTGATAGAAGTCTAAACAAGCTAAAGAATTTAGAAAATTCAATATGAAATAGGGAAAAGGGTTGGGAAAGTGTAAACTACAATTCTAAAGTGTGAGAAACTACACAACTACTTCTAAAATCTACAAAAAGCTAAAAATCCTAAAAATACAAGGGCATCTTATCAATATATATAAGTATCTGAAGGGAGTGTGTCAAGAAGATGGGGCCAGACTCTTTTCAGTGGTGACCAGCAACAGGATAAGGGGAAATGGGCACAAACTGAAACACGGAAACTTCCATTTGAATATGAGGAAAACCAGAAATTTTTCATTTTGAGGGTGGCAGAGTGTGGGGATTATGTAGGCTGAAGACCTGGAAAGAACCAGACCTTAGCAATAGGTTTCAGGCCAAGTAAAGAGCAATTCATTACAGGAATGGATTGCAACCCCAAAAGCCTGCCATGTTCCCAGGTAACAGCTAGCAGCCAATCAGATGCTGCGTTTTCTGTTTTTGCCTTATAAGGAATACTTCCATGTTTGTGGGAGGTTATAAAAGGCTGCATCCTTTGAATAAAGTTGTCTTAGTTCCATACCCTGCTGAGTCTGTGCCTCATACATCACAAATGGTGCTCCGTAGTCAGGCTTAAAATAGAATCATAGAATCATAGAATGGGTTGGAAAAGACCTCCAAGATCATCAAGTCCAACCCCTGATCCAACTCCAATTACTATATCATGGCACTAAGGGCCACATCCAATCTCTGCTTAAAAACCTCCAGGGATGGTGAATCCACCACCTCTCTGGGTAGGCCGTTCCAATGCCTGATTACCCTCTCCGTAAAGAATTTCTTCCTAACATC